AATGAAATATTATGGATTACTCAGTTATCATCACAGTAATATGGAGAATACAGAGTAATGCTAATGATACCACATGGGACAAAGCCAGAGGCATATCTAGTGAGATGGATTAACATGCACATGCTGCTAAAATGACTTTTCTTTCACACGTCTAACATTTCCAGGCACAAAGCACAAGACTATGCTAGAAGCTCGAAATGGGAGTGGAACTATCAAAGCTTTTCCCAGGGCAGGCGTCAAAGGGAAAGGACCCGTCAATAAAGGAAACACGGGACTTCAGAACAAAACGTTTCACTGTGAAATTTGTGATGTGCACGTAAATTCCGAGACACAACTCAAACAGGTGGGTAGAAACATTACTTCCCAGAAACACAGGGGTTCATTCATATGCTATGTCAGCTCCCAAACTTCAGCAGACTGTAGTTGCTGGCAGCCTTAGTCCATGTGTCCAAGACCCACCTGTTGGAAGCAGTGCATCCAATTTCTGGCACGGTGTTGTATCTGCAGAAAGTTGTTTCACCATCACAGAAGTCACCGTATTTGCCCTATGAGGCCGAGATCTCATCTCATCTGCTTGAGTGCTGCCTGACTGTGGGTTTGGTAGCACCTCCATCTATTCCTGAGGTCATTGTGTTGTCGTGAAGCAACCCGCAGGGCTACCATTTTTCATCAATGCCCATCCATTTACTTTTGCTTTGTTTTGGGATTGGTACCCTTCTCTGGCTGCTGTACCCACAAAATTGCTCCAAGCCACATGCTTTGAGAATGTTCTTTTTGTCACTTTCCAGACATTTTATTTGCTCTGCAGTACAGTATACCCAAATGGATGTGGGTATGGAGAGGTATGTACCTTCTGCTGAAGATGTCATGATTTTCCATGGGGAGCATGAGTTGCCTGTGTGAACTGAGTCATCTCACAGAACAATCATCCCCAAATTGAACTCAGTAATCCAAATTATTTCCCCCAAACACTGGAAATCCCACTGTTCTCCTGATGAAATTTTCAGGGCCACAGTCAAGTTTCTGAATGGGAGCCCATGGTAGCTCCTACACAGCTCCTCTCCTCGTATTGCCTTCGTTTGCATGGCCTGGCCCTGGCAGCTTCAGGGTTGCTGAAGCACCGTTTTCCTTTCTGGGATGGAAACTTTAGGTGCATCTCTAGGCGATCATAGGAGATAGTATTTTTTATAGGCCAGGCTTAACATTACACTAATGAAAGTCAATAGCATAACAAGACATTCTCCTTGCACCTCTCCATGCCACTGCAAAATTTTCAAATGGTTTCCCAGGCCTCTGGAACAGATTTTAAGGGCTGCAGGCAGAGGGGGAATCACTCCATCCTGGTTCTGCTGCCAGAAGCCCTTCAACAAGTGGAATGAGATCCTTGGACCCAACACCATAGCCCCAGAAGCTCTGGCACTCAAGTTCATGGTCAGTGTTACAAAAAGAGACAGCGGGAGTCTTCTCAAGCCAGATCTCTTCTTGCAGCTGCTGTGGCTGCAGCCACAAGCCAAATCAGTAGGAAGCAGGCACTGAGAGAAGGTTGAAGTATGTTTGACTGGCTCAGGTTATGCCCTGAACCAGAAGAGAATTCAGGCAGTGAGAATAGCTCTTCCTTTGGAATGTAGCTTAGCCTTGCAAGCTAAATCAATTATGTGCCAAACTGCCCAGTCCAGAATGTAGGCAGCATCTCTTGAAGAAGAGAAAATGTTCCTGCTACAACCTGCTGTGTGGAAACATTACCTGTCCCCGTCCAAGTTTGTCCAGATGCCCACATGGCGGGTCCCTGCAGACAAATGGGTCAGTCCATGGAGGTCACTGCCAAGTGGAGCAATTGACAGGGGCATCCACATGGCACCTGGTCAAATGCATCTGCTTTCTAAGCATGAAATGTATGCCACAAAGCTTCCCAATGGTGGGTGTGTGTGGCTGTGAACTGGCGAGATGCTTCTCTGAAGCAGGAGACACAACAGACAAATTGTTTGCCATATGGAGGAGATGGCTGGAGGGGAGAACTGAAGGCAGCTGCCAGGCGGCCACTTATTCACATGGATGGGCTCTGGCAAAACCAACCGGTAAAACCTAGTAGAGAAAAGCAAGGTGGCTCCCAGCCCCAACCTGAACAGCCCACAAGTGCCTGTGCGGGAAGCCTGGGCACAGGGCCAGCTCACTAAAGTTATGACAGCTGAGAAGAAGAGGGAATTTAAACCGGCACTGCTTGTTCTGCAGCTGGGAGACAGGGGAGAGAAAACCGCTCCTTTACACCACTGGTCAAGGTGCAAGACTTCTGCCTGTCTTTGCATATGGTCATCTAGAAGTGTTTGCTGAGCATACAAATTATGGTTTGACTACGTTTCTACCTTTCTTCAGATATCGTAACCATAGACCTACAAAGCATAATGTTATTTGAGGGAGTTCCTTTCTTCGTAGTGGCTTGAGGATTACAATCTGCTATGGGTGTTTCCCTCTTCATCCCGCTTTGGGGAGAAAAGGGCCTTGTGCTGCCCCAGTTATGGAGTGCCAAAGGCTTGGCTCTTTACCCAAGTTTTGGGATTTCAGTGACCATAGTTCAATTCTGATTTACCCCTGCTGATCTTATAGAGTTGTGGATTACAGTTTTGTGGTTTCTTTGTTGACTTGTTGTTCTCACGTTTTTTGAAGAGCTTTATAGACATTTTATTAAATAAACAAGCGAATAAGGCTTAAATCATTACAGTATAAAGAGGGTAATATTTCGTGTATGCTTAGAAAAAGGTCCTGCACTTCTCAGTATACTGCCAACCCAGCATGAGTGGCATGAGGGATGCTGGGAGTTTTAGGAATTTTTCAGTCTAGACATTCACAGGATGGTATCCTGATGCTCAAAATGATATAGAGACAGGCATCAGGTGAGGCCTTCATCCAAAGAGCTCTGTGCAGTTGCAATGCAGACTCAAGATGGTCTTCCATTCAGGAGGTTCACAGAACTAAACTTGGTTAGGTAGAATGCAGTTGTCCTGCAACAATCACCTTATTGGCCCCAGCTCTGGGATTCAGCAAATGTATCCTCTGCTTTCATTATTGCAAAAGAAAGCATGCACATCCACTGAAATAGACTTATTGTTGTGAATAATAATTGCAGGATTGGGACAGGTCCAACTGGTTTTGAGTGGCCAGAAATATTGAGTGCCGAGGACAGCTGAAAGGGTGTTATTTATATAATCAGAATCATAATTTTCCAAACTTGCTTTCAAACAGCACATAAGCAGTAGAAGGCACAAAGACAGAGCTGCTGGGAAGCCTCCCAAACCCAAATACAGTCCTTACAACAAACTCCAGAAAGGAACACACCCACTTGGGGTAAGGCGATGTTTTATTATTGTATTTATTATTGTATTGTTGGAAATATGCTAGAATAATGGCTCATTTATGTCATGGTAAAGAAAGGATGTCTTGCTCTGTTGCTTGTTTCAGTGGCTTAGTTTGTCCTGGCATCTACTTCCATCATCTTTCTCTTACCTTTTCACATATTAAAAAGAAAAGACATCCTTTTCTTGAAGAGGGGAGGGGGATTCCCAGGTGGCAGACAGAGCTACTGTGGAGATATGACTGGCCCAGGGAGACCCTCTTAAATATTTGGCGCATTATCTATGGCTGGGAGTCATGGGCCTTCACCATAAGTCCTATCATCTCCTTGATTCTGGGCTGTAAATGCTTCTCACAGCTCAGGAGAAACCCTGGGACTTCTCATGCCTGAAAAGAAGCCATCTGTTTCCCATTCATCATCATGGAAGAGATTAAGAGGGAAAGATGAGCAGGGCTTAATTGTGTTTCTCAAATACCCAAACAAATGCTCAGTTCCTTTATTGAGGTGTGTCACCATTTTTAACCAGGACATGTAAAAAAAAAAACTTCAGGATGCTTCCTGAAGCTCATCTGTCACTACAGTGCAATGCAAGCAAAACAGAAATTCAAGGTGGCTTGCTATCCGAGATAGCCAGTTTGGATTCCAGGTTCTCCTCAACAGTGGGACAAACACTGAAATACTGCACACATCTGCATCGAAGAAAGAGCCCTAAAATCAATGTGGCTTTCTGCCAGGAAATTGGGTATGAAATTGCAGCCCCTGTCTCTCAGCTTCATCTACCTCACTATGCAATTCAGGATGCAATCCCGCAAAATGCCATAGCTATTTTTATTACTTGAGTGAATAAATGTAAAATATTGCTTACAACCTGCTTTTTCATTATTAATTACCCTCTTCTGAACTCCTGGATCTACCTTTCGGTCACGCAAGTGTTTTCTGCATCACCTATGAAAGCTTTCCTTGGTGTGGCTTATCTGAACCAATAACACTTCTGCTGTCTTTGCTTCTTCCATAGGTAAAACTAGTATTTTCAAAGGAACCTTCAAAACCAATGGCTCCTCGGATCCTACCAAACCCACTTGCGGCCGCAGCTGCAGCTGCTGCAGTAGCTGTAAATGCCCCTTTCAGCCTTCGAACAGCCCCACCAGCCACCCTCTTTCAGACTTCTGCACTCCCTACGGCACTTCTCCGACCTGCCCCGGGGCCTATACGGACCACCCACACACCCGTCCTGTTTGCACCATACTGAACTTCACAAGGGAGCAAATTGTTCTGCAATAATTTTTCACAGCAAAAGCAAACAAGAACAATGAACTATGCAGTGTTAATTTATAGTTTAAAGTTTAAAAAGCACATATATATATGTATATGTATATATATATATATGTATGTATGAAGAGGTAGGACTTTTGCTAGAGACCTGAACAGATTCTAAAGAAGGGAAAGAGGCAGCATTTTTTCCAGATAAGTGTTCCTCTTGCTTACTGACCATTTTAGAACTGATGCTTCAACACTGATTATATATATATATATATGTATATGTGTGTGTATATATATATATGTGTGTGTGTGTATATATATATATATATATGCGCATATGTACCTATAAAAACAAAATGTATGAGGTCATTTTGACTGTGCTTTTTGGCACATATCTCCCCTGAATGTCTTTCCTGCTTATGAAACAACTGAACAAAATTGTCTAAAGGGCATTAACTGGTTCCAATGTATATAAAATACTTAATTCTGTAGAATAAAAGGAAAAGAAAAACAAAACAGAAACACTGTGAATAGTAATACTCTTACCGATGCTCCTGCCAACTCAGCATTTCCTGGGCATTTATCTGAGCAAAAGTAGATACAATAGATGTCTCATTAAGCACTGGCATTGTGTCTCCATGTATGCCACCAGGTTCATACCCTGAGAAGACTAAGAGCATCATCTCTCTTTGGTAAGTTGCCACAATGACCATAAGTCTCTTAGCAATCATAGGCTGCCATCCTTTGTGCATTTACACAAGAGTAAGCCCCACCAAACATCGTGGCTCTCACTTCTGAATAAATGTGCACAGAATTGCAATGTTAGCCAATATCCCATACTCGATTTTTTTCCATCAGTGACATTCAGAAGAGAAAATAAGAGGTGATGATTTCCGTGCAAGAGTTAAAATACTAAGAGTACATGCAGCAAAGTTTCTTCATTACTTTCCAAACAATAGCCCCTCCATTCTGTCCTGGTTGACACGTTGGAAGCCTGCTTTTAAATTTCTCTGAACTTTAAGTGTTTCTTGCCATCTCATTTAATAAGGGCTGGGGACTCACTGTTCAAGAAAATAGGCAAAGTTCTAATGTCTTGCATGCTTGACTGAATCTGGGCCAGAAGAGGCCCGTCACAATGACTGCAGTTCGTGTGGATCACAAAGTGTTAATACGATAAGATGCTGGGCAGAGACGATCAGCCCTTGCATTATAGCAAAGGTCAAGAGAAATCTGGTGCCCTTGGCAAGGGTTGTTACGCAGCAGTGTGGAGGAAAAGATAGCTAAGCCGGTATTGCAAACATGCTGACTGGCCCATGATGTCACCAGCAATGGACCAACACCTGGACCTAGTAGCTGCTTCCTACGATGGCACCATGCAGAGGTTACCGGATTTGCCATGTTTCCCAGGTCACCTGTCAGTGGTGGCAGCCAGTTCCTACTTGGCTAACTCCCATTGCTATCCCGCTTGAATGCCATGGCTGACCTCCAAGGTTTCTGGGAATATTCCTTGGTGAGAGTCTTAGAATTCTATGTTAGGAATCCCCTATTCCTCTCTAACAGAACCTTAGAGTTGTGGGGAAGAGGAAGGAAATTACTTTGAAACCAGGCCTATGAAACAGCTAACTTCTGCCTGATGTGATATGGAAGATATGCCATATTCCAGTCACAAGTGCTAAAATACACCTGTTAGACACCAATAAAACCCAGTTTTGGTTATGGATCCAGTCTAGTGAAGGGAACCAAGAACACCCAAGATTGGTGAAATATTTTGTTTTATAGATCACCAGTGGGAAGATTACCGGACAAAATAGGAACATTTCATATAGGAGCTCTACTAGGACTAATGTACATTGCTACTGATAAGATTTCATTTCAACTGTACTGAAGGACTGTCTTATGAGGAACCCACTCTGCATTCGTGTGGAAACCTTTGGACGGTACACCCTGCATCTGGCCTTTATGTATAACCTCTTAAAGACTTAAGTTCACTGTGAGGCTTAAAAAATGAAGTACTAGAGAACTATAGAGCTATATTGTACATACACTAGAGTTAAAATAACTTATAAAAAGAAATTATATAAAATAGCTATATATAGCCATTCAGTTTTAGATATGGGTCGTGGCAACAAACAGCAGAGAAGATGAGGAGGCTGCACATTTGAAATCTCTGATATTTGCTGCCGATATTCCCAGAGGGAGCTGAAAAGGACATTATCACACAAGATGAGGTGGTCTGCTCAGTCAGATTCAGCCATACTGATATGCAGCTGTGATGCCTGCAAATAGATTTTAGCTAGAAAAGAAGTAACCTATATTTTAAGTCAAGTGGGGAGCAGTAGCTTAAAAGATGTTCATAAAATGCTCATGATGCAAAATATTGGCCATAGATTGGCTACATTCACATCTCTCTCTCTCTTTTTTTAAATAGCATTGGGGGATTATTATGCCTAAGAGTATATTTACCAAGAAATATTCACTGATATTTTTCTTTTGGTTCTAAGGAAAAAGCTATCCACTTAAAAGGGGTGTGTGTGTGTGAGTGCAGCCATTCATATACATAATGATATCATACAAGCAGGAAGAGGGGATGATGAGGTTCCAAGAAAAAGGGACCAGATCCAAAGGAGCCCTCTGTGATTAAAAGTGGTCCTTCCATTAGCAGAAGGGTCCTTTCCATCTGCAACCCTACAGAGGCTTTGTTGAAAGGAAGTTGGCCAGGGTGGTGGTTTTCATTGGTCACCCCTTCCCTCTGCAGCCCATACCCCCATGCTCCTGGTGATGGTTGCAGAAGGTATCCTAGCCCTCCCCAGCAGGTTTTCTTAAGGCATAAGAACTGCCGATGAAAGGAAGAGCTAAGCAGAATTCGACTAATGGAACTCTTAGTCCAACCAAATATGTGCCTCCAAAGTCCAAAGAGATGCATTTGTCTTTTATGTATTAATTGAAAAAAGATAATGTTTTATGAATTAGTTAGAAGCATTGTGTCCATTTTACTTGCAAATGTTTGTGCCTTGAAGTTAAAGCACCTTTTTGGGTGGGGTGGGGGGCTGGATATCTTAGACTGGATATAGGTTGTCAATCAAGGATTTCCTTTGTGGTTTCCATGCTCTTTCATTAGGCAAATTGCTCAAGACTTCTAATTCTGGGCACCTACTGTTAAATATAAAAAATATACTTCAGGATTAGCTGTCTGCCATCTGTGAACAGATTTATTCCTAAAGTATTGGGACCTTGCAACATAGCACTTTTGGAAATAAAAAATTAAAATACAGAGTTTATGAAAGTGAACATGACTATATCCCTCTGACCAATAATTGTTTCTGAAATAAATCATGAAGCTGTAGCTTTAGAGTGTGATTATATTGCATCTGATGCCCATATTTAGTTATACTGGAAGCACTGGGACTTAAATTGGCATGACTAAATCTCATCATAACTACTGTACGTATGGTTCAATCTGGATCCAACATATTACAGGGATGCTACTTAAAATAGCCTTCCATGAGGAATCACCTGTGTCCAGTTCTCAATCTATACTAGCACTCAGAACACAGAATGGAGTTGCTACAGCCTTTCCGGCAGTCTGTGGAGTAACGGAGTAGGAATACCTGCCATAATCCTCAATGCCAATACAGGAATGATTTCATTTATGGAGACTATTTTGGTTAGCATCTCTGTACCAATTGTAAGATATGTTCCAGCAATATGTCTTGTCTTTTTATGATACAACTGCAATAAGGACAATATCCTCCGGAGGTCATGTACATACATGCCAAGAGATTCTGAAGTGTCACGGCGCCTTGGGGCCTTTGTTTGCGGTCACAAAAGGAAACCAAGTCTGAATCAAGCCATAGAGTATTGACCATGCAGTCTGGGAAAGAATTATTCACAAATAATACACTGAGCTGAAAAGTGGATGAATGGAATCTGGCGACATGCAACCCACTTTGTCAAAATACCATTCAAATGGATAGATTTGTTCATCTAATCACGTGGCCTGCGGCATGTGTGGAGGCACAGTACAAATGGCACAGATATTGAAAGGTTTGCTCGAAATAAAGTGTCATTCCTACTCCTTCTCATCCTCTGATCCATGCTCTTTTAAGTTACTTGAACCTTTTTTCTTTTTCTTTTTGGGTCATCACAGTGCTGTATGTGAGCCTTTCTCTTTCTCACACTCATGTCTCCTAGACTTCAGCTGTAAGCAACAAACAATCCCTTTTATGTCTCTTACTCACTACCTAATAAAGGATGAAGCCTAAATGTTCAGACTGTGTGGAAGATTTTCTGTGCATTGCCACCCAACCACATGCTGGTTACTGACCTTCTGCTAGTGCTGGACAGAACAGCAGCCTTTGAAATAATCGTTCATTCCAACATCAAACGTGGCTGCTTGCACCTTTCAGCTTGGAGGAAAATGGGGTCCGCCCCAAAATTAAGTAGTTCAGTATATTGGAAAATCTCCCACCTTTGTAGAAATGTATTAATTTCATATTTAAATGAACAGCAAAGTAGAATTTAGACAAGGACTTACTTGGGTGACTGGCAGAATCCATGCAATGATAAGGACAACTAATTAAAGGAATGGTACCATTTATTGCTGGGAAGGAGAAAGTGGTTTTCTTGGCCCCTAACAATATTCAGAAAGGGGATCAAGGTGCATGGGGTGCATGCCTTGAAAAGAAAAAAAAGGGAAAGGAAACCTTTCCCCTTTTGCAGTCTGTAGAATCTCCACCCTAATACAGAACACTAATACAGAGCACATACAGAGTTCAGGTTTGGGGCTGACAACCAGTTCTAAGCCTGAACTATTTAGCACTATATATTCCTTTTCACCCCTGCTAAGAAAGATTGCTCTTCTCTGAACTCTCCAAACACACCCGTGGAAATCTTGATTCATGCTGGCCGGATCCCTGAACAACTATATTTATGATAGGAGCTTAGGATTTGATGCACTGTTTGCTACTGGTCTCACCTTGGTAATTTCTACTAAGCAAACTTCAAATCTGTGAAACAGAGAAGGTAGCAAAAGCAAGTTGTCATTTGACCATGGTGGTTATCAATCTGAGAGAAAATCTCAGAAATTTTATTTTTTTTTAAAGTCTCCTGGGAAATTTCAGCTCAGCATACTCACTTGAGCAGCTTCGTCAGT